CAGCTGATGAGAAGAGCTGACTCACTGGAAAAGACCCCGATGCTGGGAAAGATTGAAGGCAGGAGAAGGGGGTGACAGAGGATGAGATGGTTGGATGGCATCACTGACTCGATGGACATGAGTTTGAGCAAGCTCCAGGAGTTGGTGATGGACAGGGAAGCCTGGAGTGCTGCAGTCCATGGGGTCGCAAAGAGTTGGACACGACTGAGTGACTGAATTGACTGAACTGAATGACTTGAAGGGTTGAATGTGACATATGATTCTAAAGTTTCTAAGATTGGTTTTCAATGGACAGAACTTAAGCATCCAAGCAACCAAAGCCTTTTGAGGTGGAGGGGCAATATGTTAAACATCCTCTTTGGAAAAACAGAATCACTGGGTTAAGAGTATCAGATCTTAAATTACTACCTGGGTGATCTTGAGCAAGTCCTCTAATCTCTTTGGGTGTGTCCTTGGATGTAAAATGACAATCATAATGATATTTAGGTAATGCTTTTGTGAGAATTAATTGGTTGAACAATGAAAAATGCCTAACTTAGGACTTGGCATATGCAACAGTTCATTAAGCAGGGCTGCTATTACAGTATCATCTCCTGATGCATGAAGCTCATTTCTTTACACTTAATGGACAGCCAGCCCCCTTAGGCCTTTCTTTCTTCCTCTCTGGATGCTTAGCCTGTCTACCTTTTGTGCGTTTCTTTCTTCTTTAAGCACATGTCTCTGGGATGTCTCCCACCACAGAGTACCAGTTTGCACAAAAACCAGATGTGGTCCCAGCCCTCCTGCTGTGGTCAGCTCCAGGCGGCCACCCCCTTGCCTTCCAAGCCGACCCAGCTCACTGTCCTTCCATACTCTGGGCCTTTGCACTAGTTCCTTCATTTTAACAGAGTGTCGTTTTCTTTCGTAGAATTTCAGTAAAATCACATTTACGAGTTTATTTCTGGGTGTGCGGCTTTAGGTATTTGGTCATTTTCTTTTTTTGGACCCATTGTTTGAAGTGTCATTTTTATAAAACAAAATTGTTATTTTAAAAAATTTGTCATAAGCATCCCCCTTCTTTTAAGGCCTTTTGCCCTTGGACTTGGTTCTTGCTCTTCTGTATCTTCATGGCCCTGTGTGTAATAGCACCTCCCAATTGTTGGGATGAGTTGTTTAAATGTTTGTTACCCCATGTAGACTTTGAACCTTCTCAGGCAGACTGTGTTTTAATTTATTACATCTCTGGCATTTGGCACAGTGCAACTCTTTAAAGAGTTAACTGGGTCCTCTGAGTTCTCTTGGTGCTTATTGCTGTTGTGAATTTATGACCTAAGTGTGTAACAGGATGAGATATTGAGGAAGAAATGAACATCCTAGTCTTTGTTCCTGCTGTGCACGCATGGGCCGAGGGACAAAGTCATCTCAGCACTGCCCTTGCTGCTCCTTCCAGGAAGGGCAACCCAGGGCCTGTGTTGGGTCTCCTCTGCCCTAGGAAGGGGTTATCGGTGGCTCTTGTATTTCTGGGCTCCCCCAACATGCCAAAATGGCCCTGTGTGAAAGACAGCTGCAGCCAGGCTTTGTTTTTGAAGGTCTAGGAGCTGAGACAATGGAGCAGGATGACAGCTGGTGGACAGCTCCATCCCTCCTTGCGCATTTGCTCATGGAGAGGCCTTCTCAGGCCCAGGCATGTCTGAAGCAGAACAAAGGCAGCAAATACCCTCCTTTTAAGTTAACACTGTGAGAGAGCAGGGTTCAGACAGGACAGAGCAATTTGGAAAGTACGTAAATATTTCTTTCACTTCTCTGCTCCATGCTCTCATTCAACGTCAGGTCCTTGGGAAGAGTTGAGGGGAATCTGGAAGCAAGAAGTGTGACCGGGTAGGGAGACAGCTTCTGTCTGCTAGGCTGAGGCCCTGCCGACACGGGCGAGAGGAGGACGGGGCGTCGCGACAGGAACCGGGAAGAGCGCAGAGCGCGCCAGGGGAGGCGCCAGAGCAGCCTGCGATCACACGGAGCAAGCGAGGCAGACGTCAGGACGGTTCTCTGTCCCCTTCTCCTGGGAGTGAATAACGAATGAACAAGGGCCTCCTGAACAAGCTGGGGTGGCAGACAGTTTAATTTTGTTTTGAACAAGCATTTTCTTTTTGTGTGTCGTAGGACAATAGCAAGACAGGGAGGGTTGACTTTACCTGTATCCCTTAGTATTGGGCTAGGCCCATGTGAGGCCTGTGTGTTGCACTATTGTTCCTTCCATTTTCCCTGGTCTGCAGCCACGTAACAGCCAAAGTTATCTCCTTAAACTGTAAGATAGATCATCGGACTCCTCAGCTAAAACCCTCTCATGAATTCCTGTCTCAAGAAAGCCAAACTTATACTGGCTTACGGGTTCCCATCCCTCCATCTCTGAACTTAATTCCTTCACTTTCCCACTTAGTCGCTCAGTGCCAATTCCTGGCGTCTTTGCATGTCCTCAAAGCAAGAGTGCCTGCCTCAGGTCCTTCGCACTTGCTTTGCCTGAAATCTCTTTCTTCTACATATTTACTAGCTCAGTCTTTTACTCCTTAACTTCTCTTTACAGTCTTCTTCTTCAGAGATGCCTTCCTTGATCACTCACTCTACAAAAGACCAATCCGCATGGCTTGTGCTCCCTGTTTTTCTCACACCACGTTACTGTTTTCCTTGGTCCTTGTAACCATTCGACATGCTCTGTATTTGTTTGTCTCTCTCCACAAGACTAAATTTAAAAGTGTCAGAGTCTTTGCTTTGTTTGATATTGTATCCCAAACGCATACATTGGTGCCTGGCATAATAAATACTTGGTGAATGAAGGAGTGGGCCAATATCCAAGGGGAGGAGATGAAACTATTAAAAAAGGACTAGCAGACGCCTCTCACAGATCTTGGCCAGTGCTAGCTATTTTGGTACTAGAGTCAACTTGATTTAGAAAAGAAATTGATTTCTTGTACTTTAAGGGCTGGGGAACAATTTGTCTTTGTTGCAGGTATAAATGGCTGAGCCCCAGGAGAAGCCTGCAGGTACCAGTATGCAGTAGTGCTCAATGCACACACAGTGCTGCATTCTAGAGGCGATAAAGCAATGGAGAAATGCCATCTAGATATTCTCTTACAGTTATTAATAGCAATTTTAGATACCAGAGCAAGCATGTGTGTCAGAGTTGGAGAGACTCTTAGGTCACAGCAAATTAGCAGGGTTGGTGATTGTTTTTTTTAAGAAAAAATTATTTATTTAGCTGTGCCAGGTCTTCATTGTGACATGGGAATTCTTAGTTGCAGAATGTGGGATCTAGTTCCCTGATCAGGGATCAAAACTGGCTGCCTGCATTGGGAAGTTCAGAGCCTTGGCCACTGGACTACCAGGGATGTCCCAGGGTTGGATTATAACACAGGCCTTCGAATTCCTGGCTAGTTCTTTCTGCCAAAACTCAGATGAGCCCTCTTGCTCCTCTAATTTCATGCCATTCCATTGGATTAGGTCTCTGGATTCCCAAACTACTGTTCTTTCCCAACAAATGCCAACACAGAACAGCCAGATAACAATCTCAGCAGAAGGATCTATAATCACAAAATGTTACTTTATATTATTTATGTTACATTAATAACTATAGTAGGAGACAATAAAGAAAGGATCCCAGTTAGGCTGGCTTGTGCATTTATTCACACAGCTTGTGACAGTGTCACCCACATTTGGATCATTTCAGCACTGATGATTTTGTTCACTAGAACCTCCGCATTTCAGAGCTGGGGGCTCTTAGAGATGGCTAGTTCATAAGGCTTTTAAGTCATTTTTTTAAAGCTACAGCTGACCAAGAAGTCAAATACTTGTTTATATTAAAAAAGTGCTCCTTTTGTTGAATACCCGTGGGCTCTGAATCATCACTAAGGAATCCCTTTCAGGTCTTTAAAATGTAGCTTGAAAATCATTGATGTAGTTCCACTTTTTCCTTGTAGAAATGGAAAATCAAGCCAGTCAAGAAGCAGAGTTTATATCAGGATTTTACTCCATCTAATTACTCTGTTTAAGCTTCTCCACCATAGGGTGAGCAGAAAAACATTCAAAC